AAAGACAACACCACCTTTTTTTTGATAAAATAATGCCTCATTAAAAACCCCTTCATATCCTACATGTTATAAACATAACATGAAGGACATAGGAAGGAAGAAAAGAGTTCCTCTAACTTTTATTAATGAGAACAATAATACACCTCCACACCTTCATGACTAACTACTAACATAACCTTTAATCCATAACTCTGAATACATAACGCACCCTCATAACCAAGGTATAACACCTTTAACCAAAGCACCTTTAACCACAACAGAAACCCAAAAATCAACATATACCAGCTTTTGCTAATTCATCCGCTTCCCAATTTGCAGCTCTCGAAATATGCCTTGTGATAATACCCTTCCTTTCCACACGAGTAGCTATATCTCTCACCAAGGATTTGAACAAAGAAGTACTAAGGTTCGGATTTTTAATCCACTTTAGAGCATTAGTAGAATCTGATTCCAAAATAATCCTCTGACTTGGAATGTAACCAACTTCCTCGATAAGATTCAACCCTCTTTTGATCGCCAAAAACTCTGCAAGTAAAGGAGGACCTACCCCTACCTTCTCTAAAAACAACCCAAGCACCGAACCACTAACATCCCTAATCAATCCACCTATTCCACCCTTATCCCAACCTTTGACCATTGCACCATCTACATCTACATTTACTTTTAAGAACCCTTCCGGAGGAGGACTCCACCTATAAGGAGGAGGAGACCTCTTTTTCAGATTACCATTCAAATCTGCTAGTTGTAAATTCCCCATCAAGGAATCGAAAGGAACATGGACGTCCTTAAATGAAGTTCCAAACCAAGAAACAATTCTGAATCTTGTAATGAAGAACAACAGCGCAGAATCAACCTTCCCTTGCTGAAAAATCACCTCATTCCTACATTTCCAAACCAACCACAGCACAGCCCTAGGGATAAACTTCCATATGATAGATCTCGGAACAAGCACATCCCACGCAATCAAGAATTCCATCAACTTAGCAGGAACCACAAAGCAAACATTCCAGTACTTTAAAAACTTAGCCCACAAATCCCACACCACATCACAGTGCAGAAACAAATGTGAGACCGACTCATTGCACTTCCTGCACAAAGAGCACACAGTGTCTTCCACCCCTGTAACTCATCTCTTCAGCAACAACTCCTTCACCGCTACTCTATGATGAGCAAGTTGCCAAACAAAGGTTTCCACTCGTGGTGGAGCTACCGCCTTCCAAACATATCTTTCCCAATTACCTTCTACTTCATCATTACCCTCTCTATCAAAATACAATTGCATGCATGATTTTGCTGTAAAACAACCCTCACCAGTTCCCAACCAAATCCAACAATCATCCTCTACTAATGACAATGAAGAATTGTTCAAGAGAGAGATAAGTTGCAACCACTGCTCAACCCCCCAATCCACCAAATTCCTTCTTGTTTGAATATCCCAGACCCCACCCGAATCATTATACAATCTGAATTTTGCAACCTTCCCCCTTTGTTATTCGATAGAGCAAATAACCTTGGAAACCTATCCTTTAGAGGAACCGAACCCAACCATTCATCATGCCAAAACTGCATTGTTTCTCCATTTCCAGCTCTAACACAAATTTTTCCTAAAACAATCCCCAAATGCATCACTTGAAAAGAAGTTCTTAACAACTCCTCTCCAAATCCAAGAAGTACGTGCTGTCCAAGTATTCCGGATCATCATTGAATTTGGATCCATATTGTTTACACAACAGACCACTGCTTTCCGCCAAGAGGCTTTTTCTGCAGCAAATTTCCACACCCATTTCTCCATAAGAGCCCTGTTTAAAAGCAACAGATTCGGAATCCCCAAACCCCCAACTTCTTTGGCTTACACACCAATTCCCATTTGACCCAATGGATGTTTTTTTTTTCTGTCGATCCCCCCATAGAAAAGATGCCATGATAAATTTAATTTGTTGAGAACACTAATAGGGATCCGAAAAATAGAAAGGTAATAAATTGGAAGAGAGCACAACACTGATTTGACCAATACTGCCCTTCCAGCCAATGACAGAGACTTGGCCTTCCAACCAGCCAAATTGTTATAAAATTTTTCTACAACCGGTTCCCACAAGGAAAAAGAATTCCTCTTAGCCCCTAACGGTAGACCTAAGTACTCCGATGGAAAAGCTTCTCTTTCACACCCTATTTCCTTGGCCCAAGAAGCTAACTCCTCCCCACATTGATTCCAAAAATTCTGCTCTTATTCATATTCAACTTCAGCCCCACCAACAATTCATAAATTAAAAGCACCCTTCTAATATTCACCAAATCATGAGTTGAAGCCTTGCTAAAAATTATTATGTCATCCGCAAATTGCAAATGTGATAACATGAAAGAACAATCCTTCGAGCCTAATTCAAAACCCGAAAACCACCCTTTGTCCATTGCTTTCACCAACATTAAATGTAACAATTCACTTCCTAAATTGAACAACAACAACGCCTTAAAGAAAGATTCTTTCTCCGAATCCACTGATGGCCCATACACATTAATAAACCAACATTTAACAGATAACTCTTTTAGATTACCTTTAACTGTAATAAACCTCTCTTGAACACATTCGATCACCTCCATTTTGCTTTCGTCCCATAGAGTTATCAATCTCCCTGTTGACTCAACCGCAGGAAATGCCACATACCCGCTCAAAATATTCCCTCCTAATCTCCTTAGCAAGGAAAAATTGACATTCTCTACCTTTGATTCTCCCTATAATAATATTTCTCACAACCCTTGATTTTTCTCTTCTCCCCAAACCCTCACATTCCACGCTAAAATACTTAAACTTGACATAGGAAGAAAGAAAATTACCTAATAACCACAGGAAATCAGATTCCGCCACCTTCCTCCTCTCCTCAATCATAGAATTCACCTTTTTCATAAAAGCTTTTTTGCCTCCTCGAAAGGTTACACCCATCAAAACTTCCCAGCTTGCCCGGACTTCTTCCTCCTCGTCTAAACAATGGCTTGAAGTCTTCGATTGATCCTTCTTTTCCCCTCTCGAATTTCCCCTTCCTTTGCTTCTACTATAAACTATTGAAAATTCGCTCCCGATTCTATTGATTGCGCTCTCCTTTCTAGAGTGCGACCACGATTTGGAGAAGGACCCATTCTCTGGAAAGAGGACCTTGACGGGGAAACTGCCTCCTCGCCCCATTTATTATTATTATTTTGAGAATCAATTCGGTTTCCATTTCTGCTTAGAGAATCCAAGGACCTGCATCTCCTATGAGATCCAAGCTGGACAGATCTGGCTTTGTTGGTTCCTAGATCAGCCCGCGTATTGAACATATTTTCCCGAGCAGAATTGGGCCTATCTGGCCCGATATTAATTCCTCTAATTCATCCATAATTTTCATCATTTATTCCCGACAAACTCTGATGCATAGGGACTGCAATCCACCAATTTAAATTGCTTCAAATCTGTTGCCTCATTAACTCCAGGAACGAAAACCTTCATGCCACCTGTCAAAAGCTCTTGAGCCGAAGTCTCCCCTCTCTCGTTGGACTTCTCTCCTGCCTCTTAGATTTCCCCATCCCTGAAGATCCCCTCATCGTCATACTGGTTCTCTGGTGATCCATCCTCCCATTCATCAGAAAATTCTCCTTCACTTTCTCCATTCAATACCTCATAATATCCATTAACCGACAACTCTACTTTAATCTTTATCACATACAACCTACCATTAGTGTTGATGGAAATCAATTATGGGAAATCAAACGGACTGGCCGCCCTAATAACCATCTGCGCTACTTTGCAATCCAACTTCAACGGTGTTTCCTTCTTGATCTCCACTAACTCCCCCCACCGTGAAGCCAAGCTGGAGAAGAAGACTTCATTCCAGCAATTCATAGGTAATCCAATTAAAGACACTTCGCAAAACGCCAAAGGGACACCCCCTTCCGTGGAAACTGGCCTCAACCAGTCGAATCAGAAATTTAACTCCAAAGCTTTTTCTTTCAGAGCTTTCATCTCGCCATTTTGCATTTATACCTTCACTGTGCAGAGCTCTCTGAATTAGTTCCACATCATACGATTGTTTATGAATGTCAGTCAACAACCTCTTTAACCAGTACCTTTCCTTCACGGGATGAAAACATAGTAGGGATCCTTCGAAACTACTCTGCCACTCGTCAACCTGTTAAATGCCCCTACTGGTAATCACTTATTTCCCATCAGTTATCACGATAAGAGCTCCCATCATGAAACTTATTAAACACCATGCCTTTTCCTCCAAAGCTCTTTGTTTGAGTCGCCACCCTCTTCTTAGCCCCTTCATTGTCTGAACCAATCTGATTCTTCCCACTTGCTGATTTCTGGTACTTCGCCACCCTAACCGAAACTCTCCTCCCATCAATCATCGCATTATCTACCTTTGCTACTGCTTGCAAAAGATCCTCCTGACTCTTGAAGTGAACAAATGCAAACGGTGAATCCTTTGTACTTTGGTCTCTTATTGGCAATGGGAATAAACACCTTATCAACCTTTCCATGGATCTTGAAACGTTCCCACAAAGCACTCCTACTAACTCTTTTACTCAGATTATCAACAAAAGCAGACAAAGGGGCTCCAGTAGGGAGACCCTTGAACTGACTTTTCGCTTACCATTTTTTTACCGTGAAAAATTATTATTGATAAAATACACTGATTTTAACCATCACTTAAAGTTTAATTTAAAAGACAAACCGAAAAATCTTCTTATGGAGATTAGACTGCTACTTCAAAGTTGCAATTAATGTACACTACAAGTTTCAATTTCTCAATTTGTTTCTATCTTATTGAATTTTCAAACAATGAAAGGGTCCGTTATCATGGGTATATCCCAATGGTTTATTTGTTATTAAGAACTGCTGTTAGTAATCCTTACTAATAATGTCACTAGAAGGTAATGCTAAACGTACTTGTTCATAAAGTTGAATTGTTTTACCACTCTTGGGGTTCATTTTCTTACTTTTGCTTTTGGGTTCTTGGTTGTAGTGAATCTCCAAAGGGTGCAAATGATGCATCTACATTCCAAAGAAAGGTTTGCATGTACCAATAGTTCGTTTTTATATTCAATGGCTTGTGAACATGGCCTTTCTTAATATAACAAAGGAAAGAGGAAAACAAAAATGAAATATGTGTTGAAAGTAGCTGAAAATGAGTGGTAGAAACCTACAATACAATAGTTAACTTTTAGTTTTTCTGAAATTGATGAACAACTTTAAGTATTTTGCTTAAGTCACCATGCTTTTGTTGTTGCCATTCCATGGGAGCAGCTTGCTGTGGAGTGCATATTTTGCTCAGCTTGTATTCGCTTTGTTGAGTGCTGTCCACAAGAGGGACTTACTGGTGTGTTCATTTCCATGTTTTTGCTTATGTGGTTTTATTTGTTTTTCTCAGAATTCAATGACATGCTATGCTCTCTTTGCAGAGAAGCTTTGGTCTGGTCTTGAAAATTTTGTTTTTGATTGGCTAATTAATGCCGATAGGTAAGGATGCTCTGACAAACCTTGGCCTGCTTAAATCAAATTTCTGGATTTCATTATGTGCTTTGTCAGTGCCTTAAAGTTTTATATACAAATTCTAGGCATTTGTGTGTTAACTGTCAGTATTATATTTATGATCATTCCTGTATTCAAATATTGGGTTTCGATTTGAGAAGTTGATTTTTTTTTGAAATTTCAATAGGTCAACCACCTTTAAAATTTTAAGAAATATTCTCATACAGAGTTATTATCGAAATTGCGTACATGATTTTGGGCTGAAAAGAAAAATAGAAATTGCATACATGATAGTGCCATCAATGGAAACTTTACAATGCATAATCATGACATGACCAATCTGAGAACTGACAATAATTTTAGAGAATAAAGTCCTAATAACAACTAACAACTATCAAGCTGCCAAACATAGGTGTTAATGAGGCTTCCTTAAACTCTACAATGAAAATCTGTCCTTCTGGGCCTGCATATAATATAAAAAGGATTGGAGATAAACTCATTTTTCAGCCCAATAACAGTTCAGTCAATCCTTTGGTCCCTGTAGAAGTTGATAATCCTAGGCAAGTGATTATAATTTCAGGGGGGAAGAAGGAATTGGTGCAAGTTGAGCAGGGCGTCGAATTGATTGTAGAGCAGGCTATCGAGCAGCGGAGTATACTTGAGGATATTGTGCTAAATTCTCATAGACAGATGGACATTCATAGGACTAGTGTATCTGGTGACCAAGAGGTGGTTGGCAGATTCTTAGATAAGGAGAGCAGTTTGGATTCTACAAAAATTTTGGTCAGGGCTTTTCTCGTTCAAAAAATTTAATGAACAGGAGAAGGTTTAGAATTGCTCCCTGTCATTCGGGTAGCGTATGTTCGGAGGGTGAAGTGGAAGTAAGATTTCATGATAGAGTATATAGGAGAGTGACTAGTAGCATGGACAGGGAATCAGTGAAACACGTCAGGAAGAAGTCTCAGCCATCTCAAGACTTTGTTCAAGCCAGGCTGGAAGCGGAAGATACTAGGGAAGTTTGTAACATGCTGGGAATTTCTTTTAAAGGGGGGAATCAAATTGTAGAGGAAGAGATTTTCAAGATGGAGATGTTGTGGATTGGAAAGGCTTCCTGATTGTACCTTGCGGATTGAATTTGGTGTTGAATGTTAGTAAACCAAATGTCAAAACTGAAAATGATTACATGGAATATTAGGGGGCTTGGGAAGTCTGAAAAAATCAGGGCAGTGTCGAGGTTGGTTCTTAGAGAAAAGCCGGCTATTTTATTACTTCAGGAATCAAAATTGAATGTCTGTCGAAGTGGATTAACAAGAAAGCTTGGGGGTAATCTGCTCAGAGGTAGTTTTTTTCCAGCTGATGGTTCGGCAAAAGGTCTAATATGTTTATGGAATGAGAATTACTTTGAGGTTAGTGCACAGATTAACAATAGTAGATTTATAGCATTATCAGGGAAGTTCAAGATGAGCAGTTTTGAATGTGTCATTATCAATGTGTATGGTCCATCAGTAGAGGCTGATAAAGAGGAATTTTTTAGGGATTTTTTGTGTGTTGTTCAAAGCATCAACTTGCTGGTTTGCTTGGGGGGGACTTTAATGCTTATCTAGATCCTGAGGAGAAATGTGGGTTTACTCAGAATTGGCACTCTATGGATCTGCTTAGGTCTTTTATTTAGTCATCTAATCTGATGGATCTACTGCTAGTAGGGGGCGATTTACATGGTGCAATAATAGAGAGTCACCTACTTGGGTAAGGCTGGATAGATTTTTGATTAGTGGCTCATTTTTAAATCAGTTCCCAAATGTGATCCAAAAAATGCTTCCTAAATCCCTTTCGGATCACAATCTAGTTTTGTTGGTAGAAGAATGCAATAATTGGGGTCCTAAGCCGTTTCGGTTCTATAATTACATGCTTGAGGAAGATGGGTTTGTTGGGGTGGTGGAATCTTCATTTTCAAATCTAAGGAAGGGTATTGGTAGTAGGGGTCTGTTTTCACTGCTTAGAGGAACTAAGCAGCCCATTAGGAATTGGCCAAGGAATAATCACAGGGGATTTTCTGATGATATTTCTGAATTAGAAGCCAGAATTAATGGTCTGGAATTGAAGCTATAGGGAGGGGGGATTTCTTTTCAAGAATGGGACTTGCTGGTTGTTTCAAGGAAGGAGCTGTGGAATTTGCATAGGAAGGAGGAGAGCATTTGGTTACAGAGATCAAGAGTGAAATGGAGTATTGAGGGGGATAGAAACAAAGTTTTTCCACATGTGTGCTTTGAATAGGAATAGGTTTAACACTATTTCTTCATTGAAGGTAGCTGAGGATGTTATTTCAGACCCGGATCAGTTGAGAGGCTTTGTTTTTGATTATTTCAAGGACAATTTTAACTTGGTAACAACTCTAGAGGTGGATGAAATTGATTTGAATTTTGCTAAATTGACAGATGATCAAAAGAAGCTTCTTGAAGTTAAATTTTCAGAACAGGAAGTGTGGGAGGCAGTTTTCCACTCGGATAGTGCCAAAGCATCGGGGCTAGACGGTTTCACCATGGGTTTCTTTAAGAAATTTTGGCCATCTCTGAAGCCATATATTATGAAATTTGTTGAAGACTTTTATAATGGAAGGAACTGGGAGCATGGGGTCAATCATTCATTCCTAACGTTGATTCCAAAGATCAGAAATCCTGAAGGTATAGAAGATTACAGACCGATAAGCTTAGTTGGCAGTTTGTATAAAATAATTTCCAAAGTCCTAGCTAGAAGGCTTGCGTTTGTTATTAATGTTCTGGTTAGTCCGTCTCAGTTTGCCTTTATTCCCGGAAGGCAGCTACTGGACTGCGCCTTTTTGGCTAATGAAGTTATTGACGATTGGAGAAAAAAGAGAGGAAAGGTGTTGTTTTCAAGGTGGACTTTCGAAGGGCTTATGATTCGGTGGAATGGCCGATCTTGTTGAGAATTCTGAGAATTATGGGTTTTGGAGATAGGTGGATTTCTTGGATTGATTTGTGCATCTCCTCTGCTTCAATTTCTGCTCTTGTCAATGGTTCTCCGACTAATGAATTCAAGATGGGGAAAGGGTTTAGACAAGGCTGCAGTTTGTCTCCTATGTTGTTCAATATTGTTGGGGAATTACTGAATCTAATGTTGATTAAGGTTGTTGATTGTGCTCTGTTTGAAGGGTTCAGTGTTGGTAGGGCGGAAAATAAGTTTCATTTGACGCATCTACAATTCGCAGATGACTTAATACTTTTTTGCAGGGACTCTTCTGCTCAAATTATGAATATTAGGAGAGTATTAAGGGTCTTTGGTTTAATGTCAGGCCTCCAACTTAATTTATCTAAGAGCAAGTTATTTGGAGTTAATATGGATGAGAAGGTTATAAAGGAATGGGCTACTATCGCAGGCTGTGGTGTGGGGGCTCTTCCTATGACCTACCTTGGTTTACCGATAGGTACCTACAGAAATTCGGATCTGTTGTGGGAACCTGTTCTGCAAAAGTTCAATAGCAAATTAGAGGGCTGGAAAGCTAAATCATTATCGATGGCAGGGAAATGAGTGTTAGTGAAGTCTGTTTTGTCGTCCTTGCCAATTTTCTTCCTTTCTATTTTCAAAATCCCTCCAAAGATTAACCATAAGTTGAATTCTCTGATGGCTAAATTCCTTTGGGGGGATGATCCCTTGAAGAAGCGGATTCATTGGGTGAATTGGAAAATTGTGTGCCAACCGTACGAGGAGGGTGGTTTGGGTGTCCTAGATTTGTCTATGGCGAATAGAGTGCTTCTGGGGAAGTGGGTTCATCGACCCCGTTCAGGTGTGGCCAGAGAGGACTTTGTCGCCTCTCTCGGTTAATATGAAAACACTGAAAAGAGAGGGTTTGAGAAAAGATAAACGGTTGGGGTGAAAGAAATAGAGAAGTAGGGTTTCTGAAAATGTTATAATGGGGTATTTAAACCCCTTAAAATGATGTCGTTTTAGTTTAGGGTTTGTTGAAAACCGATACATGGGTTATTCGCAAGAGAGGGGTCATGGGTCTTGTAATGTTTCATTTTAGTCACGAAATAAATTTTTTTGTTTATCAAAAAAAAAATTAATAAGGCTGCTAACCCGCAAGATTCATGGATATGGAGAGGAATTTTGAATAATTATGAGAAAAAGGACGATATTGGGAATTGTTTGAGGTCCAATTCCAAGATCCAAGTGGGGAATAGTAGATCAATTGAATTCTGGAATGACATTTGGGCTAATAATTTCACCTTAAAAGAACAATTTCCTAGGATTTATGCTTTATCGATTAACAAAACGGGGAAAGTTGTGGACTTTGGCTGCTATGATAATAATTGCTGGAGTTGGAATATTTGTCTGAGGAGGAATTTATGCGATTGAGAATTGGATCAATGGATATCTTTAATGACTTTGATTGATAATATTGTTTTGATTGATGTTGTTGATGATTTTCTAACTTGGTCAGGGAGTGGAGATGGTTTGTTCTCAGCTAAGGCCTGTAGATCAGCTCTTATTCGTAGCTCTGGAGGAAATTTTCAGTGGAAGAAATGGGTTTGGTCTGGATTGGCTCCCCCAAAAGTTGAAACATTTTTATGGCAATTATCTCACCAAAAATTAGCTGTTAGAGTGGAGTTGAAGGAAAGAGGTGTTCCTCTGGAAGAGTTATTATGTCCCTTATGCCAAAAGGAGGAAGAAAAAATTCACCATTTATTTATGTTTTGTCCTGTTGCTTGGGAGTTATGGAATTTGTTCATCAATTTATGGGAGGTTAGTACTGTTCTGCCCAAAGATCCTCTGTCTCTACTTAGTTCACGGTCTGTTTTGAAGGCTTCTTCTTCTATTTGGAATTTCATCCCGGGTGTTGTTATGTGGTCGATTTGGAAGGCTAGGAACCTAGTGGTGTTTGAAAACTGGAATTTTGAGAGCTCTACATTGTTCTTCATTTGCATATTCAGGCTGGCCAAATGGTTTCTAGCTAAATTTCCTAAAGCTAACATCCAGGTAGATTTATTAATAGGAGATCCAAGGCTTGCAGATGGTTTAGCAGTCAATTCTCACAAGAAGAAGAAGGATTTGTGCTGGTATCCACCTCCACCTGATTTCTATAAATTCAATGTGGATGGGGTTGTTAGAAGTGATGGTTTGCAGGGTGGAATTGGAGGTCTGTTGAGAGATTCGAATGGCTCTACCGTGATCTATTTCTCTAAGCCTGTCGGACCTGGTCCTCTTTTTGCTGAGTTGAAAGCCATTAAAGAAGGAATTGATCTATTTCTTCATTCAGATTGGGCGTTGAAGGAAGACTTATTCTCGAAAGTGATTGTAAAACTGCGGTGGATTGGATTTTCAGGCCTTCTGAGGCACCTTCGTTTTTCAGTTCTTTGGGGATGTAATTTCTGGTAGGGATATTATGGTTAGGCTGATTCCTAGGGCTTGTAATTGGGAGGCAGACAAGTTAGCTAAAGAGGGGATAGGTTGAATGTCCTTAGTGTTAGTGGTTATGTTTGGTATTTTATTTCGGGTGATGTTGTAAATTATAGTCGTATGTAATTCTGGTTTATTAATATATTGAGGTACTCTTTTCCTCCTTCCGCTAGTTGCCTCTTCTCAAGAGGCAACTATGAGGGAGGTTTTTAATGAGACCTCCTATTCTTATCAAAAAAATAAAAAAAATAAGAAAGTAGGTAGTACGATATGAAGGAGGATTCATCTCCAGGCTGATTTATTCTCCTAAACAGCCCATAATAAAAAGATTGAAAACTCGGCACCTGAATTGAAGTTCAAATTAGAGATCTGCAGATGGCCTGCTCAACCAAGTCATCAGAAATTATTAATTGAAGTATTCAAATATATGATTTGCACTTGAGAATTTGATTAAGGCATAATCCTTACATGCAGCTGCATCTATATGCTTCTTCAGATGGATGCTTTATTGATATTTGTTACAAATATTGAATTCTGTAAAGGTTGCATTTTCTTGCCACCTTCCTTAGCGTCGGTGACTCGTCTTACCCAAAGAACAGAAACAATTATACCAAAATATTTTTCATTACTTTGCTGCATTTTCATCTGAGTAAGAAAAGGGCAAAAACAATCTCATTATTAGCCTAAGAAAATTGTCTATGGCTTCTTTACTGATAGTATAATATTTAATATCGAAAATACTGCCTAAGAGATTATGGATATTTACCCTAACTATTTACTTATGCATGATCTTGCCGGGATAATGAGATATAGTAAATAAATTCTTGTTGCAGGGTTGTTAGCCAAGTTGAGTATCCCTCACTAGTTGATTTGCGGAGTCTCCTTCTTGACTTAGTTGCTCAACTCCTAGGCGCTTTATCTCGGATCAGGTAGCTGTGTTGTTATTTGATGACATTAAAATTTGATAGAAATGTCTGTGATTTGAACTTGTTAAAAATACCATAAAAGGGTTTCTGAATTTCTAATTATGATGAAATCTTTCAACAAAAACTCATATGATGTTATTTCCCCCTTTACCTGGTAAAAAAATATGACGTAGGTTGTGACATTCTGTAACAGAAAAATTGGTAATAATATTGTCTACAAAGGGACATCGTGCTGGCTAAACCTTAGGATTTATTATTATTATTCCCTTTTTGTGTTTGAAAAACTTGGAGTTTATCTTGAAGGTCTTAGGTTTGAACATTTGGGAGTGGGTTTTCTGGTTTATGGGAAAAAGAATGAACCACCTTCTATCATGTAAACCTAGGTCCAATAGGTGTTTCATGTACTACAAAATCAATTCATTGCGAACAAAGCAGAATAATGAATATTTCATGGTTATCAGGGTTCTTTTTTCATGGTCGCCACTGCTAATTCATTCTGTAAATTCCTTAACATGTTAGAATTCGTGCTTCAGATTGTTTTGCCTTCGTTTATAGCTTTTAGGTGTCTTCAGTCTTTACTGCTACAAGGTGTATTGTGTTTTAAATAGTTTCTAGCTTCCAGATGCATTTGTTTATCAAATTCTTGAAGATCTAAGTTACTGTTAAAAATTTGGTTCAGAAATAAGCATAAATGTTTTTATGGCATGTCTTGAAAGCTGTATTACTCGTGTGGAGTGTCAGATGAATGTATTGGACACGAGTATGGTTAGACTTTTCTAAGAGTTCCATGTTTTTGGAGGATCCTTGGTAGTCCCCATATCCATGTGTTGGATACAGGTAGTCCAAGAAAAATAAAGAGTTCGAGCAGCATAGCTTGAAAGTTAAGCTTCATTCTATTCGTATAAATATTAATTGTTCCTTCCATTTCTTTTAGATTTAGTTCTGTAACTGAGCGTTTTTTCATGGAATTGAATTCTCGTCGGATAGACAGCAATGTTGTCAGAAGTGAAACACTTAGTATCATAAATGGGATGCGCTACCTGAAGCTAGGGGTATGTAGAAGAAACAATTTGCTTCCTTTTTTCCCCTTGAAGAAAAGTTGTATGAGGACCATTATATAACAATAATTAATTGCCAGGTCAAGACTGAGGGAGGATTGAATGCATCAGCCTCCTTTGTGGCAAAAGCAAACCCTTTTATTCGTGCTCCACATAAACGAAAAAGTGAGCTTCACCATGCACTTTGCAACATGCTTTTCAACATCCTAGCACCACTTGCAGATGGCGAGAAAAACCAATGGCCTCCAACTGGTGTAGAACCTGCACTCACTCTGTGGTATGAAGCTGTTGGACGAATCAGAGTGAATCTCATGCATTGGATGGACAAACAGAGCAAGCATATAGCTGTAAGGGCATTATTCTATCTACATGGAATTTTAAATTGTTTGATTTTCCTTTAACGTGGCAGCTTGTGTTTAGGTTGGTTATCCTTTGGCGACTCTTCTACTGTGTCTCGGTGATCCTCAAATATTCCACAACAACTTAAGCTTGCACATGGAGCAACTCTATAAGTTTCTACGAGTAAGTTTTATTTTATACATTTATATAGTTGTGTCGTGGGTGGACAAATCATCATAGAATTACCTGGTTGATTTTACGAATTGTTCTTTTCCATTTACCTGTTTACAAGTTTCCATTTCAACTGGACTGTAACAAAGCATCTTCTGCATGCAGGACAAGAATCATCGTTTCATGGCTTTGGACTGTCTCCATAGAGTTTTGAGATTCTACTTGAGTGTCCATGCAGCTAATCAGCCACCAAATCGCATATGGGATTACCTTGATAGTGTAACTTCTCAACTTTTAACAATTTTGAGGAAAGGAATGCTAACGCAGGATGTACAACATGATAAACTTGTGGAATTCTGTGTGACTATAGCAGAACATAACCTTGATTTTGCCATGAACCATATGATCTTAGAATTGCTGAAGCAAGATAGCACTAGTGAAGCAAAAGTTATCGGTTTACGTGCTTTGCTTGCCATTGTTATGTCACCTTCAAGCCAGCAGATTGGCTTGGAAATATTTAAAGGTAATCGATAACTGGTTGTATACTGCAAATAATAACAAACGTTTCATACCAATCTTCATCCCATTTATGTTGTATAAGCAGGTCAGGAGATTGGCCATTACATGCCAAAAGTAAAATCTGCAATTGAGTCAATTTTAAGGTCTTGCCATAGGACATACAGCCAGGCTCTTCTGACTTCTTCAAGAACCGCAATAGGTAGTCCTTTCCCCTAAAATCTTTTTTATCATTGAATCAGTATTCAATTAACTTAAATTTGGCTTCCTAACACGTGAAGTTAAAAGAGATGAAGCTAGTGGTGAAGTTCGTACTTTTAGACTTGTGAACTGGTGACAAGGTAGAACAAGAAGAGAATAGAAACGTATCAAATTTCAGGTGATTTCGAGTGGTGGAGGAAGGGTCTTGGTATGGGAAGTTACAGACTTTGAAAATAGATTTAGGGTTCTCAAGGCTTTTTCTTAAATATCTCTCTCTCTCTCTTGATAAAAGAGCAAGATGGAAAAGAATGATTGAAATCGGTAAAATGTCGCTGGCAAAGTGGTCGCCGGTGATGATCAGCAGCAGTAGACAGCTGGGTTTGGTGCTGATTAGGCTTAGATTGAGATGGAAAGAACATAGAGAGAAGAGAAAATGAAAGGAAAAAAGTAGAGATTTAAATCAACACCAAAAAGTAAAAGAAAGAGTTTCATATGCGCAGGGAAAGTAAAAGGGCTCCAAGTTTTTAAGCATATAATTTATTTTAGAAGATTTTTTTAAATAACTGTGTAGTATACTTCAAGTTCAATAAAAGAATGATGATACTTTATATAGTTTATATTATTATTTTTTGATTCTATAATTTGTATAAATTAGTATCTTTAAACCTTTGATATAATATTAATACTTTTGCTTCTATAATATTTTTAAATAAAATATATGAAAAATACTTTTTATTGCTGTATCCTATTGTATCTGTCTCTTCACTCTTTATAAATTGCTGTGTTGATGTGTCTGTGTTGTGTTATAATCGTATTTACATGTTTGAGTCTGTTACCAGTTATGCAAGGGGAATCTACATTGGACTGTATTTTAGCCGAGTCTGAAAACAGAAAAGAAAAGGGATATTTTCGGGTAGAAAATGGAAAATATAAGGGATGGCCAATTTTGCTTTAGACTGAAATAATCAAAGACTCAATGGTACAGTTACTTCTGTTGTATCATGTTTGTAGTCTAGAACCTTTATCTGTGGCTTAGCTATTGTTGAAGAATTCTTCCTCTCTATGTTGATGAAATTAAAATGAGAACCAATTTTAAATCAGTTATATTTACAGTTACTGATTTTTCTGATTGGGATTTACCTCCTACATAGATACTCAAATAGAACTAAAGAAGTTTGTTATTATTTTGCTCATCTGCTGTGAATTGAATTTATTGTATTACTTGCTTCAAGATCTGTTTCTGCTAGCAATGCTAGATATCCACTTTTGGCTTCAATTTATCTCTTATCTGGATTTAATGGTATTTATGATATGAATTTCATATTTTCCAGATGCTGTAACTAAGGAAAAGTCCCAAGGATATTTGTTCCGGTCAGTGCTAAAGTGCATACCTTACCTGATTGAAGAAGTTGGTCGAATTGATAAGATAACTGAAATAATACCTCAACATGGGATAAGCATTGATCCCGGTGTTCGTGAGGAAGCTGTTCAGGTACTGAACCGGATTGTAAGGTATCTTACCCGTCGTCGCTTTGCAGTTATGAGAGGGATGGCCAACTTCATCCTCCGACTACCTGATGAGTTCCCCCTTTTGATTCAAACATCATTGGTGCGACTGTTAGAACTTATGCGTTTTTGGAGAGCTTGTCTGATTGATGATAAACTGGAAGAAGGTGCAAAGCAGATGCTGCAGCAAAATAGTAGATTCAAGAGCACTTCTTTCCATCAACCAGTGGAAGCTATTGAGTTTCGCGCATCAGAGATAGATGCAGTTGGTCTCATCTTTCTTAGCTCTGTGGACAGTCAGATCCGTCACACAGCATTGGAGTTATTACGCTGTGTACGTGCCTTGAGGAATGACATACGAGACCTTACACTTCATGAGCAACCAGATCATGATATAAGATATGAAGCTGAACCTATATTTATAATTGATGTGCTGGAAGAACACGGGGTGGGATACATCTATTTTATGATTTCCTTTCTGTCATATTCTGTGTAATTTCTCTGCACTGTATTATGAACTAAGCTAAATATTGCAGGATGACATAGTTCAGAGTTGTTACTGGGACTCTGGTCGTCTGTTTGATTACAAGCGAGAATCTGATGCAATTCCTCCTGAGGTGACTCTTCAATCTATAATATTTGAGAGTCCTGATAAGAACAGGTGGGCAAGGTGTCTCAGTGAACTCGTCAAATATGCTGCTAAACTTTGCCCAAGCTCAGTTCAAGATGCTAAGTACGTTCGATAAAATTGTTATTTGTTTCAGTTCTTTATGGTTAATTTAGAACTTCGGTGATTTCCTTTTGAAAATGTAAAAATTGCCAATGAATAAATGATTCGCAACATAGCATAACGTACTGTTTTAGTCTTGTCCATTTTTTATTCTAAAGTGGGAATAAAAAGGAAGGGATATTAATTTCTATTTTCTTTCATATAAAATTTTCAAGGTTTAGTTTTAAAACTCTAATGAACTATGGATCCTCCTCATACTCATCTCACTGGGCAGGGTAGAGGTTTTGCATCGTCTTGCTCATATTACCCCTGCTGAGTTAGGTGGAAAAGCTCATCAGTCGCAAGATGTAGATAACAAACAGGATCAGTGGCTAATGTATGCAATGTTCGTATGTTCTTGCCCACCAGATAGTAGGGAAGCTGGAAGCATAGCTGCAACAAGAGAACTTTACCATCTTATTTTCCCCTCTCTGAAATCTGGATCAGAAGCACACATAGTAAGTACATACAAATGATGTCGTTCTACTTTATTAGAGTGAATGCAAGAAATTCGAGAGTACATAATCACGGGACATTGTTTCTGCTAGAACATGAGAAATGAGGTAAACTGCCTTGTGATAGTATGCAATGGCTTCCCCATTCAATTCTTCATACTGTTTCTTGGGGTTGTGATTTGTCAAGGTTAATGGGCACAATTAGCAATCTGTTCTTTGGTAAGTTTTTCTTTTTTACTATAAATGATACAAGGAGGAGAAAGGGGGGTGGTAAAGAGATGTACTAACTAGGTTATGTGATTTTAAATTCCTTTTAATTCATGGTTGCTGCAATTGGATGCCTTGAACTAAATAAAATTTAGCTTCTTGCTTTCGTATGTGTACTGGTGTCTGAAAACCTAGCCTATATTTTGCTTCATCTTTTCTTGATTCTTATGGTAGATAGCAAATTGCTTTGGTTCGGTACAGAGACAAGGCTACTCTTTTTTTTCTTTCTTTAAACATTTGATGGGAGGCAATATGAGAATATTAGGATGCGTCTGTTATTTATACTAACAAAGGAAATTGTTTCTTGAGTGCCTCCATATATCCATAAATACATACTTGAATGATATGTACTTGTCTACATACATGATGGATGCAACAATATCCATCTAATTTCTCTCTCTTGAAGAGTTTACCCTGAAATCCAGCATAATATCAAAAGTATTATGAGAGGGGTCTGATTCTCCCTTAACTGCATCCCTTGAGTGCTGAAAATGACTTATTTTCCTTTATAATTTAGCATGCTGCCACCATGGCTCTTGGGCACTCGCATCTGGAATCTTGTGAGATAATGTTTAGTGAGCTTACATCTTTTGTTGAGGAGGCTTCTTTGAAACAGAGGGAAAACCAAAGTGGAAGGTATGTTTATTGTCAAATTAGATCCGATACATCCTTAATTTATTTGTTCTTTTAATGGAGCACGGTCTTGACCTCTTTTGAAGATTTCATGTAGGTTGCCTCTGGGAACTAAGATTTCAGAAAAAGTATACATTATGTATTGACACACACATAAATATAACATTTATAGTTTATTGTCAAATTCACGGATTTGTTCTTTGCGTATTTAGTAATGAATTTCAAAATACCTACTAACATTTTTTTTATAAGAATTTCAGGCCTTATTAAAAACCCCCTTCTTGATTAATGGAGTTTGCAGAGAAGCTCCTTAATCAGCGGAAGGAGGAAAAGAGTGCCTTATGATTTTATTGAACAATAAAATTACATAAGATACAACCAACAATACAACCGACAAAACCACCCCAACAGAACCAAATAAGCTGAAAACACCCATAAAACACCCTAACTAAAACACAAAATCAGCGAAAACAGCACTAGTAATCCCCTTACAAAACACATAAAATCCAGACACCACCCTAAACAACCATCAACAACTTTACTGACTCAGCCTATGCCTTCTTTAGCTAAGGCATCGGCCTCTAATTTGGCTATCCTACTAACCCATCTAACAACACCTTCCAAGGCATTAAGCCTATGAGCAATATCTTTAATCAAGAAGGCATATACAACAGGACATAAATCATCCCCCTTAATCCAATCCACTGCCACCTTACTATCACTCTCTATAATCAGACGGTCCTTGATCCTCTGTCGATAATTTGCAAAGAAAGACAACCCCATAAGAATAGCCTTTAACTCCATCAACATAGGAGGTCCCGGACCAGCAGTTTCCTTGAAATAGCCTATAGTAGAACCTGAGGAATCTTTTAGAACTCCTCCTAACCTGCTTTTCTTCCAATCCCTTGTAGTGGCAGTATCAACGTTTAATTTAACAAAACCCAAAGAGGAGGAGACCAAAGTAAAGTAGGAGAAATCTGAGTAGAGCGAAGAGAAAACAAGTCCCCAAGAGAAGGATCGGAAATGAGTGAGTCCTTAGGAATAGATACATCTTTATACTTTGCTAAGAACCAAGAAGCAAGCCTAAACCTTGCTAAAAAGAAGAATTCTGCCTTATCAAACTTCCCCCCTTCAAACACCACGAAATTCCTCATTTTCCAAGTGGTTCACATAACGACCCCTGGAATAAAAGGCCAAATCAAAGAGTTAGACTTTAAACCATCCCAAGCTAGAAAGAAGCTTTTAGCATCCGCTGGTAAAACAGAACAAATCCTCCAAAAACTTAAAAACTTATTCCAAAGGGACCACATCATCGAACAAGAGAAAAACAAATGAGAGGGAGACTTATCCGACATCTTGCGTAGGGGACACAACACATCTTCAATTCCTTGAACACCTCTTTTGACAAGTTCAGTCCTACCAGCCAGCTTCCCATGAGCGATTTGCCAAAGAAAACACTCTACTCTTGGAGGTAGTAGACCTCTCCAAATGATCTTCTTCCAGAAAAAGACCTCCTCCGATCCCAAAGTCTCCAATGAACTTAGATTTACAGCTGATCTAACAGTAAAAACCCCATCCCCAGTACCTTTCCAGATCACACGATCAGGAAATTCCGAAGAGAGTGAAAATTTTGTAATGATAGCCAACAAGTTAGACCATTGTTCAAGTTCCCAGTCATGAAGATTTCTTCTGAACTTGACATCCCAAGTCCAAACGGAAGAGATATACTCCCCAAATTCAGATAATTTCCCAAACTGATTTAAGGAAATAGAAAATAATCTCGGAAAAATGACATCAAGTGAATGATCCATAGCCCAAATATCTTGCCAAAACCGAATATTTTTACCATCACCAACATGAAAACTACTCATGCTTCTAAACTTAGTGCCAAAGAAATCTTCTTTAAAATAATTATTTAGCAGTGATCTCCAAATCCAGGATACCTTAGCTGAAAGCTTACTGTCCAGAGTTAAAACTGAAGAATCGAGTCTATATTTGGCACAAACAACTTCCCTCCAAATTGAGTCACTATCATTTTCAAACCTCCAAGTCCATTTCCCCAAAAGCGCTCTATTCATCAAGTTAAGATTAAAAACTCCTAAGCCCCCTTCACTCTTCGGCTTACTAACATTGGACCAGCTAACCCAGTGAATTTTTCTAATGCCATTTCCCCCTCCCCATAGGAAATTAGACATAATAGAGTTAAGGGTTTTAAGAACAGAAGCTGGAATTTTAAATATGAAAAGATAATATGTAGGAAGCGAACATAGAACCACCTTAATTAACACTAGCCTCCCTGCTAAAGAGAGAGATGCTGCTTTCCACCCGGATAACTTGTTAAAAAAATTATTAATGACATGTTCCCAAATAGCTGCAGAATTTCTAGTAGCACCTAGGGGAAGTCCTAGATATTCAGAAGGAAATCTCCCAATTGAACATCCAATAGAAGTAGCCCATTCCAGCAGTTCCTCCTCATTAACATTCACACCAAACAATTTACTGTTCTTCAAATTCAGCTGTAGACCAGAAACCAATTGAAAAACTTGAAGCACCCTTTTGACATTCTGAATTTGCATCTTCGAGACACCAGAAAATATAATAAGATCATCCGCAAACTGTAACTGACACATTTACAGACCCCTGTTCTCTGCCAATCACCATTCCAGAAAACAAACCCTGTGACACTGCCCTTCGAATCAATAGATTAAGAAGCTCCCCTACTAAATTAAACAACAAATGAGACAGCGAACAACCCTGTCGAAGACCTTTAGCCATTGGGAATTCTTCAGAAGGAACTCCATTTACAAACAGAAGCTGTGGTTACACGCTGCTCAATCCAGCCCCTCCATCTGGACCCAAATCCCATTTTCTCCATTAATTTAAATAAAATAGACCACTCAACAGAGTCGTAAGCTTTCTTGAAATCAACCTTGAATACACAGCCCTTGAGTCCATTTTTTCTCCAATAATCCACTCCATTAGCAATTAAAGAACAGTCCAGAATATGTCTACCCGGTATGAAGGCAAACTGAGTTGGACTAATGATGTCTGAAATGCAACCCCTCAATCTCCTTGACAAACACTTAGAAATGATCTTATACAACCCACCAACTAGGCTAATTGGCCTAAAGTCATCTAGACCACCAATGTTAGAGACCTTTGGAATGAGAGTGATAAAGGTATGATTAATCCCATGTTCCCATTCTTTCCCCAAATAAAAATCATGAAAAAATTTCATAATATCAACCTTGAGGACCTGCCAAAATCTTTTGAAGAAGCCCATATTTAAACCATCCGGTCCCGGTGCTTTATTACTATCACAAGATTGTATAGTCTCCCAGATTTCCTCCTCTGAAAATTCATTCTCTAAACTTAGATTCTGCTCAACTGAAATACTAGGAAAAATCAACCTAATCTCTTTCACCTCTAAAGTCGAATGCTCGTTGAAAATCTTAAAGAAGTGGTCCCTAATAGTGGTCTTAATGACAGAAGGTTCTTGAATAACATTACCCCCGATATTCAAGGCATTCAAAGCATTCCTCCTCTTCCTAATCGAAGCACAATTATGAAAAAATCTTGTATTTCTATCTCCATCTTCTATCCATTTTGATCTGGACTTTTGGAACCATATTTGCTCCTCTATTTTATATAGTCTCCACAATTCTGTTCTTGCTGAAACTAACTCTGCTGCCATTCCACTGTTAACACCATCATGCAATTGTTGAATATCCAATTCTAGACTGTGGATCCTCGATTCTAAGGCTAAGATACTAGCCCCAGGAAATTGGTCCCTACTGCCCGCCCAATTCTTGATAGCAGTTTTTGTATTTCTCAGTATACTATAAATTCCAGCCTTCCTCTGCTGATTCTTCCTTTCTTGAATAGAAGATCTGACCAAATCCTCAAACCCAATTTCTTCCATGAGATAGTTAAAAAGTTTAAAAGGCTTTTTACCCCAATTAACACCTCCATTCTCCAGTAGAATAGCATTATGGTCTGAAAGAGATCTAGGCAGTAAGGTTTGCACCAAATCAGGAAATGCACCAAGAAATTGGCCATCAACCAAAAATCGGTCCAATCTAACATGTGTAGGGGTATCTTGATTATTGCACCAAGTAAACCTTCCTCCATTTAAAGGTAAATCAATTAAGCCTGTTTGCAGCATAAAAAGATTGAATATCCTCATTGAATTCCTGTTCTGAATTCTTCCGATCTTCTCTCCATCATGCAAATAAACATTAAAGTCCCCCCTACACAAATAGGAGCCCTCTGACCACTTATGAACATGCTCAACTCTTCAAAAAAACTATCTTTCTCCTCTACTGAAGGGCTATAAACATTGATGAAGATACAACTGAAATTATTGACACGAAATTTTTCGGATAAGACAATGAATCTTCTGTAGATAGACTGATTTTCTAATTCGAAAACTTTATCATCCCAACAACTCATTAAACCCCCTGATGAGCCAACCGATGGAGATTCAAGGACTCCTTTAAAATAACTAAACCCCTTTCTTCTAAGCATAGATCTAGGAATCTTCTCCATTTTCGTTTCTTGCAAACAAAGAAACTGTGGGTGATTTTTATCAATTAACCTCTGAATAGCCCTCTGTTTTTCTTTCCTCCTCAATCCTCTCACATTTCATGAAGCAATGATAAAATTAATCTTCATCATTAATTAGTCCACAATCTACATCCCCATCAAGCTCACCTTGATTAACCTTATTCAAAGCTTTCTCCAATCTGATAATCTTATCCAGAAAAGCCTTATTCCCTTGCTTAAAGGACACCCCCAATAACTTGCTGATTTCCCAAGTTGCTAAGGCTTCCTCCACTAAAATCAAAAAATCTGAAGTAGAAACTGTTGAGATTGACACCTATTCATAAGCTTCCCTTAACAAGCATCTTTTAGCTCTTCTAAAGTCCGAGCCGGAAATGAATCTAGATCTATCACCTTCTGACAACTCTCTTGCAACCTCCACTTCCACTATCTGTTGAACATCTTTTGAGGGCGGCTGAAAATTCTCCTCCTTATTGGTCCAATCCTCCTCTCTTTCAGGAGTAACATTCAGAACATTCCCATGCCAGAATTTCCTGCTCGTCGACCTTGAATAAAACCTCTTATAGCTGCTTGTTTTCCTTCTCTCTAATGGGACACTTTTTGAAGACAACAATCTTTTATTTCTGTACCGCGATCTCCCCCTTGAGAAGCTTTCTGCCATATTTATACTTGGCTCTAACAACATTAACTGTTGCCCAACTTGTCTAACTTCAGCCTGAAGACACTTCTCTGAATCTGACTCATTTCCCTCTTCTTCATTCGAATTTCCAGAGTTAACATTTTTGTGCTTGAGGATCATTTTGCCAAACTTGTCAATATTAATTGCTGGACCAGCTGGAAAATTTTTTGAGCCAACAAGCCCAGAAAATCCCTCATTAACTGATTGGGCCTGTGATCCAAAATCAGAAAATTTTGACTTTCTAATTCCTAAGCTGGCATAATCACCAACTTTTATATTCCCAATACTCTGACTTTCTGACAGTCCACCATTAATGTCATTCCTATTTATAGAAAGTCTACCGAGCTGTTTTTCCCCACCAACTACCCCAGAGTCAGAAAAGCCTCTATTGTCAAACCAGCTGTCAACTTTTTGCCGAAAATCTTCTGCTGAAACATCTATATCATTCCCACTTTCTGACATCAATTTGAATTCTTCCTCTACAGTGACCTCTCCACAACGTCCCTCACCGTGAACTTCCACCGGAGAGTTGCCAAAAAAAGAACTTGAAGACTGGCATGCCGATCCCACCTTGATGCACACTTTAAATGATCTTCCATAGGAACCCAGAGAGATCACCTCCGGAACATCAAAACAACTTTCCACCCTTAATAAAATTTTCGCCGTTGTGAGGTCTTCTTTTTTCCTAGTGGCTTCATGAATGTCAACAACTATCCCCCATCTTCCTGCTATTTGTTCGAAGAACTGATCATTCCAGCATAACAGAGGGACCCCCACTAGTTCCACCAAACAAAAGGCCATTGGGACACCATCATCATTCAACAAAGGGGCCAATCGATCAAACCATAACTCTAGTTCTTCTTTCCTCTTCAGCCAAGTATCCCTCATCTCTTCCGATGAATTAAAGACAATCACACAAGAATTCCACACATGTCCCCATCTAGTAATTTGGACTTCGAAACCCTCTTTAAATAGCGCCTTCTTGACTAACTCAATCTGCAATGAGTGCTTAATAATCCCCGTTAATGACCTTTTAACCCAATTGGAACTTTTAGAAGGAATATGCATTTCCAAAGTATTTTTCTTCACTTTCCCCTTATGAATATCATCGGATGAAATCGCCTTATTTCCCATTGCACTTCTGTTTGACAACAGAGCCTCTTTATAAGACTTAGTATCCCTAAAACAATTGCTTAAAACTTTCGCCTGATTGGAATAGGATGTTCCAGCAATGTTCTGACTGAGGACCTTCATTGTAGCAACCTTCCTTCCCTCAGTCCAGGAAGAAGCTCCCTTATATCTTGCAGGACCAACTGAAATCTTCCTCCCATCTATCAGAACACCATTTAAGACCTCGACTGCCCTCTTCAAACCATCCTCACTCTTAAACTGAACAAAAGCAAACATTGAAAATTTGTATTTAGGGTTCCTAATGACTTTGGGAATGAAAACTCTCTCAATAGAACCATGTACTATGAAAATATCCCTTAATGAACGTCGGGACACCCTCCTACTAAGATTGTTGATGAACACCGTCCAGTTCTCATCGGAGACTGACTTTCCTTTGAGACTCTCCCTCTACGTTTTGCTCTCTCTCTCATCTTTTATACCTACTAACATTTTCAATTTTCGGTTTATGTTTTTCTATTTTCTAAAAACACAATCTTATTGAATTGAAACCAACTTATACATACTGTTTGCATTTCATTACCACAATCTTTATAGTATAACGAATGAAATCCAAATTTTTAAATCCATATCCCCAAACATAGCGCCAGAGTAGCATTTTCCTCTATTTTTTTATTTCATCCTAATGAAAATAAAAGAGTAAGTCTTGCTTAGTTTCAAATTATTCGTTCGGATGCAGAGTCAAAAACAGACACGCCGTGAAGATCTTCGAGTGCATATTGCCAATATTTATCGCAAAGTGGCTGAGAGCATCTGGCCAGGATTCTTGGGCCGGAAGCCTGTATTTCGTCGCCATTATTTGAAGTTTATTGAGGACACTCCTAAACAGATTGCACTAGCATCGGCTGATAGCTTTCAAGAATCACAAGCACTCCGTTATGCACTTGCTTCAGTTTTAAGATCTCTGGCCCCTGAATTTGTGGATTCAAAATCAGAGCGATTTGATATTAGACATAGGAAGAAACTATTTGATCTTCTTTTATCCTGGTGCGATGACACTGGAAGTACTTGGGGACTGGATAGTGTTAATGACTATCGACGTGAAGTTGAACGATATAAGACTTCACAACACAGGTCAAAAGATTCTGGGGACAAAATTTCATTTGATAGAGAATTGAGTGAACAAATTGAGGCCATCCACTGGGTCTCTATGACTGCTATGGCTTCACTTTTGTATGGGCCTTGTTTCGACGACAATGCAAGAAAAATGAGTGGCAGGGTTATATTTTGGATTAATAGTTTGTTCAATGAGCCTGCACCCAAGGCCCCATATGGTTATTCACCAGTTGACCCAAGAACTCCGTCTTATTCCAAATACACAGGAGAAGGACGTGGAGCCACTGGCCGTGATAGGCATAAAGGTGGTCATCATCGTGTTGCCTTAGCAAAATTAGCGTTGAAAAATCTTCTTATTACAAATTTGGATTTGTTTCCTGCTTGCATTGATCAGGTATGTTCCATGATATAGGCACTTTTTCTCCTGCCTAATAAAGATGCATTTTCAACTATGAATTGAATGCATGATTGTCGACTCTGTTGTGTTCCTGTTATAACAATCATTTAGTGATAGTTGGATTATCGCTGTGCTAGATTTACATTCTAAGCAATAAAAACTGAATGAGGAAGATGATGATAAGATTTTGTCTTTCAATGGTTATCATCAATAAAAAGTTCTAAAATTTATTTCATATTTCTGCATTTGTCATTTTCCTTGTTTGCCAATTTTTGTAGTGTGCTCAATATTATTGCTTCTTGTCTTATATATTTCTTATGAAGTAGGTTTTTTGAATGCTCCATCCTCTTTTTTAACATTAGCCCTATATATTGTATTTACTTTTTTTTTTTTTTAGAAATTAGGCCTCATTAAAAACCCCCTTTTGCACCCTCCATGTTATACAAGTAACATGAAGGACAAATAAGGAGGAAAAGAGTACCTAGAAATTTATAGATGAAAACTTTAGTACATCATAAGCAAACCCTCACAATCTGCTAACATCCTCAAGAATTACGTAAAACTTAAAAACCACAGCTAAACACAGCACAAATTCCTACACTTCAACACAAACAAACAGTAACCAAAACATCACCCTATCCCATCTTTAGCTAATTTATCAGTTTCCCAATTTGCAGCCCTCAAGATATGCCTAATAATGATATCCTTCCCTGCCATAAGAGAGACTATATCCTTCACCAATAAATGAAACATAGGAGTGCATAACCCCGGATTCTTTATCCACTTCAGAGCATTGCTTGAATCTGATTCAATAATGATCCTCTTATTCAGAACAGAACTGAAATCTGCCAAGAGACATAACCCCCTCTTAATCGTCAACAATTTTGCCAAGATAGGAGGACCACCCCCGACTCTTTCTGAAAACCATTTAATCAACATGCCCTTGCTGTCCCGAATCAGACCGCCAATACCTCCCTTATCCCAACCCTTTGTCATCGCTCCATCAACATTTATCTTTAAGAACCCATCCGGAGGAGGGACCCAGCAGATTGAATGTGGATTACCATTTCCCTGTTTTCCCACTAAATCAGCAAGTTTTAAATCACCCACAAGTGAGTCTAACGGGACATGCACCTCCTTAAACTTTGCAACAAACCAGGAAGCTATTCTAAAACGAACAATAAAAAACAATCTCACCCTATCCATCTTTACTTTCTGAAAAATGATCTCGTTCTTGCATTTCCATACTGACCACATCAACGCCCTTGGAATAAACTTCCAGATCACTGAGTTCGGGAGTAAATCATCCCACAAATTCAAAAAATCCATGATGTTATTTGGAATCACAAAGGACAAATCCCAAATATTCAAAAATTTAGACCACAGACCCCAAGCTACCTCACAATGCAAAAAGAGATGCGTAACTGATTCCATTTCCCTACCACACAAAGAACATAGAGGGTCATCTATCCCAACCACACCTCTCTTCAGTTGTTCCTCCTTAACCGCTATTCTCTGATGAGCAACTTGCCAAACAAATGTCTCCACCTGTGGAGGAGCAATCCCAACCCAAATATGCCTCTCCCAGGTCACCCTCTTCTGCTCACTACCATCTTGATCATAGAAAATGTTGATACAAGATTTAGCTGAAAAACAGCCCTCTCCATTCCCTGACCAAATCCAACAGTCTTCTTCACATGGAGATAAAGAAATATTATTCAACATAGCCATCAACTGCAACCACTGATCAACCTCCCAATCTGACAAATTTCGCCACATTTGAATGTCCCACACCCAGCCAGCATATATTGTATTTACTCATTTCACTTCTTGAGGAACTAATTAACAATATTATTTTCAGTGCTATTACTCTGACCCTGCTATAGCCGATGGTTACTTCAGTGTACTGGCTGAGGTCTACATGAGACAAGAGATACCAAAATGTGAAATTCAGAGGCTTTTGAGCCTGATCCTCTACAAGGTAGTGGACCCATCTAGGCAAATCCGTGATGATGCCCTTCGGATGCTTGAGACACTCTCTATCCGTGAATGGGCTGAAGATGGCACTGAAGGCTCAGGTAGCTATCGAGCTGCTGTTGTTGGTAATCTCCCTGACTCCTACCAACAGTTCCAGTACAAGCTCTCATGCAAACTAGCCAAAGATCATCCTGAGTTGAGCAAGCTCCTCTGTGAAGAGATCATGCAGAGACAACTCGATGCCGTTGATATAATTGCTCAGCACCAGGTGTTAACCTGTATGGCTCCGTGGATTGAAAACCTGAACTTTTGGAAACTGAAGGACTCAGGTTGGGGTGGAAGATTACTAAAAAGTCTTTATTATGTGACGTGGAGGCATGCAGATCAATTTCCTGATGAAATCGAGAAACTTTGGAGCACAATAGCCAGCAAGCCTCGGAACATTAGTCCTGTTTTAGATTTCTTGATTACAAAAGGAATTGAGGACTGTGATTCAAATGCATCTGCTGAAATAAGTGGTGCTTTTGCCACATATTTCTCAGTTGCCAAGAGAGTAAGTCTGTATCTAGCACGTATTTGCCCGCAACGCACAATTGATCACCTTGTTTATCAGCTGTCCCAGAGGATGCTGGAAGATAACATTGAACCAATTGGGCCTAGTACAAACAGGGCCGATGCCAATGGGAATTTTATTTTGGAATTCTCTCGGGGGCCTGCAGCCACTCAGATTGCATCTGTTGCAGACAGCCAGCCACATATGTCACCATTACTTGTCCGGGGTTCACTTGATGGTCCATTGAGAAATACCAGTGGAAGCCTGAGTTGGCGGACGGCTGGTGTTACAGGGCGAAGTACCTCAGGTCCACTAAGTCCCGTGCCTCCAGAATTGAACATTGTTCCTGTAACTGCAGGCAGATCAGGCCAGCTCCTTCCAGCTTTAGTAAACATGTCAGGTCCTTTAATGGGTGTTCGAAGTTCCACAGGAAGCTTACGGAGCCGCCATGTTTCCCGTGACAGTGGAGACTACTTAATTGACACTCCAAATTCTGGTGAAGATATCTTACATTCTGGGGTTGGTAAGCATGGTATCAATGCTAAAGAACTTCATTCAGCTTTGCAAGGGCACCAGCAGCACTCACTCACTCATGCGGATATAGCGTTGATTCTACTTGCTGAAATTGCATATGAGAATGATGAAGACTTCCGTGAACACTTACCTCTGCTCTTTCACGTCACATTTGTTTCAATGGATAGCTCTGAGGATATCGTGTTGGAGCACTGCCAGCATTTGCTTGTTAATCTACTATACTCGCTTGCTGGTCGGCACTTGGAGCTGTACGAGGTAGAAAACAGTGATGGAGAGAACAAGCAACAGGTTGTTAGTCTGATCAAGTATGTTCAGTCAAAGCGAGGAAGCATGATGTGGGAGAATGAGGACCCTACGGTTACAAGGACGGAGCTTCCTAGTGCTGCACTTCTTTCTGCCCTTGTTCAGAGTATGGTGGATGCAATCTTCTTCCAAGGAGACCTTCGTGAAACTTGGGGTGTTGAGGCACTCAAATGGGCTATGGAGTGCACGTCAAGGCACCTTGCTTGTCGTTCCCACCAGATCTATCGTGCATTGAGGCCTAGTGTTACAAGTGACACATGTGTTACTCCTTCGGTGCCTACATAGATGCCTGGGAAATCCAATTCCTCCTGTTCTTGGCTTCATTATGGAAATTTTACTGACACTGCAAGTAATGGTGGAGAACATGGAGCCTGAAAAGGTGATACTCTACCCTCAACTCTTTTGGGGTTGTGTGGCAATGATGCACACAGATTTCATTCATATATACTGCCAGGTTCTTGAGCTTTTCTCGCGTGTGATTGACCGCTTGTCATTCCGGGACAGAACAATTGAGAATGTCATCCTTTCCAGCATGCCTCGGGATGAGCTTGATAATGTTGATGCTGGGGACTTTCAGCGGATCGAATCTAAGGGCAATCTTCCCGCATTTGAAGGAGTGCAGCCTCTTGTACTTAAAGGACTGATGTCCACCGTTAGTCATGGTGTAGCAATTGAGGTCCTCTCTCGGATCACAGTACACTCATGTGACTCCATTTTTGGGGATCATGAGACCAGACTACTTATGCACATTACAGGATTGCTTCCCTGGCTTTGCTTACAGCTGAGCAAAGATCCATCATTGGGTTCAGCTTCACCACTCCACCAACAGTACCAGAAAGCCTGCTCTGTAGCTGCCAATATCTCAATATGGTGTCAAGCTGAACTATTGGATGATTTAGCTACCGTGTTCATGGCTTACTCCAGGGGTGACATCAAAAGCATTGAGTATCTTCTTGCCTGTGTATCACCGTTGTTATGCAATGAATGGTTCCCTAAGCACTCAGCTCTGGCATTTGGACACTTGCTGCGGCTACTGGAGAGAGGTCCAACCGAGTATCAACGTTTAATATTGCTCATCCTTAAGGCATTGCTCCAGCACACTCCCATGGATTCAGCTCAAAGCCCACATATGTACGCTATTGTATCCCAGCTAGTGGAGAGCTCATTGTGTTGGGAGGCACTAAGCGTTTTAGAAGCTCTTCTGCAGAGCTGTAGTTCATTGACTGGTACACATGCACATGAGTACGGGACATTTGAAAACGGCTCAGAGGAGAAGACACTAGCTCCTCAAACCTCATTTAAAGCTCGAAGCGGGCCGCTGCAGTATGCTTTGGGATCAGGGTTTGGAGTAGGTTCAACATCAGTCATGCAACCATTCTCCACCGACTCAAGTATGCCGCCTAGAGAGGTGGCCTTGCAAAACACCAGACTGATCCTCGGACGGGTGCTCGATAGCTGCGCCTTGGGGAGAAGAAGGGAATATAGAAGGCTGGTGCCTTTTGTGACCACAATTGGAAACCCATAATCTGCAGGCTTGCATATGTAATTTTGTATTTTGTTACTCTTTTTTTCTTTTGCTGGTAATATTAAGTAGCTCATCAGAAGAACTAGGAAAACTTGGGACTTGGCTTTGTAAATAGGCCTCATAAATAACCTGTAATTGCAGTTAGTGTTTTTAATATTTTATTAGTGTAAGCATCCCAATCCAGGCCCCTTGAAGGCCATGCCTTGTCTGACCATTGTCATTGAAGTTTTTTTTTTTAATTAGTTGATATTTTTTATTTATTTTGAAATATATTATAATTTATAGGTTTCTCTTATTAAAACTACTTTAACCTAATGGAGTTTTATAATAATTTATTGTAGCAGGACGGGTTGTTGGGGTGTGATCGCACTCCTAAATTTTTAAATTCTCTTGTATTTTATATTTTTTTTCTTTGTATTTTCTATCAATTACTTAATTTCGTACTTCTAAAATTTTATAACTCCGCACCTCTTAAATTTTTTAATATAATTTCTTAAGTCCGTACCCTTCGACATAATTTTTTGTCCGTCCTTGTATAATAGTATTTAAAAATATTTTAGATAGTAATGTTATGTTGTATATCTCTTCTAATAATATTTTTAAACCGTAATATGTTACAATATTTAAATGTGGTGCCATGGTAAAAAAACAATTCATTCATTAGTTAAATAAAATTTCACTATTTTTTTATACAGGCGATAACGTTTATTTTTAGGATAAATTATACATTTAGTATCTAAACATCAGTTTTTGATCTGTTATAGTATTTAAATTTTTAAATTTTCAAAAAATTATTCACATTTAGTTTTCATTTCATATTAGTACTCACTGTTAAAAGCTTAATTCGTTTAGTATTTAAACTATCAGTTTTGATTTATTTTAATATTTAAACTTTCAATCTTTTAAAAATTTAACGTTAAGTTTTGAATAGGATAACAAAATGAAACAAAAACTATAGTATTTAGATTCCTTTGGTGGTCAGGGACCATCTCAGTTCATGTTCTATTGGATCAAAACAGAGAAGACCACTCGGTAAGGATTGCTTTTTCCGATTATTTGATGTTAATATCCAGGACTGAGCCTTCTCTTAAGAAGTAGACTTTGGTTTTTGTGGTCCTGAGTTACATTAAACTTCAACCTTCGTGTCCTCGGACTTTAAAAGATTTGATTCTCCACTCAGTGAAGCGTTTAATTTCTTTTGCTTAATCTTATCATGTCAGAATTCCCGATGCATAAGTTGTTACCGAAAAAGATCGCACGTGGGTTATATTCTAATTGTGAATGTTACAGATGAAGTTCAAGCAAGTAAAAGCGAGATTCATGAAAATTTTTAAGGTCACTGGAGAGTAGAGCCTGTTTTCGTCGATGAAGAAACCTGCTTTCCTTTCAAACCTAAAACATGGGCAGAGTATTGTTCATGTACAGGGGGTAAAGGAAGGATAGGCTCGAAGGTAAGCTTGGACCAACTGATTCAGGCAGTCATTGTTCCTCCCCCGCCCATTTCTTGGTATCTGAGGGGAATAACCAGCAAAACCACTGAGATGCTGATCCATGATCTGCTCGTCGAAGCTGCCAGACTAAAGGGTGCCTTCGACGCTGAAAATTCAAACGACGACCTTAGATTTTCTAAGGAAATTAATGAACATCACCGAGTTGGGGAGATTCACGGCATTAAACAAAGATGGAACCTTCATAGGCGAAATGCAAAGCCGAGTGGTAAGAGGATGTTGACTGCTGCATGAGAGTATTTCATATGAAAAGTGCCCATCATCGTTATGATATTCCCGTTACCTGTATCATCTTACATGACTCGGATACAGATATTTGGCTGATATGAATAAATATATGTTTATTTTCTTATATATCATATGATGTTTGAATATATATCAGAGAAAAGTGTCGAATATGAATACTTCAACGAAAAATGAAAAATCTGCATTACATGATTATCTTCTTCAAACAGATCTGTTACATTTGGATATTCCAAATGAAGCTATGTTAACTCGAATCACGAAGATCAGTTACCAAAATGCCTCCCCACAACAGAATCAAAATCGTTGGAAAATTAGATATTCAGAAGAACAGATTGAAGTGAATAATTTCATTAAAAAAAAACTACATATATGGTACATGTAAGCTACAATGATGGGAAAAGCAACACAATCTTCGTCTAATTTTGAGTTCTTCGTATCGGTTTCCGTTGAAATTACAGGTCCTGCAACATATCTATTATGCAATATACATTCTTCAAGATGGGAATTTTCTTTTTGCGTGGTTACCTAAGAGTCTTCCATCACTTCATCTTGTATGTTGTATCTCTATGTTCCGTATACGGTGCACTCAATACTGGCATTCTCATCTGAATTACTGTTCTGTGAGCAGTAAATCTTATCCCCGGCTGAGGATACGCTGATGGGGAACTTTTGCTGCATTTTATGGACTATCAAGCCATCGAGACACTGCTTCTCATAGCTCATGAATGCACCTAACGCCCCGAGAAAACCTTCATGCCGTAGAAACATTGCTTTAGCCTCACCTTTGGACCTGTAAGATTGCATTTCAGGGAAGAAAACAAGAAATTTAACTGAAAGTCGAGAAAGACTGATATTGGTAAAAGGGAAAATATTAGAATGCAAAAGCATCTATAGTTACCAGAAATTAACAGCGACAGATATGGTGTCCATAGTATAGGCATGACCCCGAATGAAAAATCCGGCAAAAAATATCCGCTTAAGGCCAAATCGAAGTGCATTTAAGTAAGATATCTGGGACGAGAAAGGAAAATGGAACCAACAGAACAACAAATTATTATTAATTATAAGCCACAAGCATGATATGCATCAGATACTAACACTAATTCTGAGAACAGCTGAAATATTAATTCTGCAACAACATCAATTAGGCAAAACAGGAATCTGGAATTCTTATCCACCAAATTAGCCACTAATACATGGAATGGTTGTAAAAGGATAGACCTGGCATGAGGAGTAATATCTATCAACATTGAGGCCAAAATCCATATGGTAATATAAATTTTCATTTTGGTATTAGGAAAAACATTTCCGTAGACAGAAAACCATTATATAAACCAACCTGGCCGATATTATTTGAAATCATTCGTAAAAGGGAGCGGGAGACATCTTCAGGTTGGTAATCGTCCAGCTCTTTATTATCAGAAATAGCCTTGCCAAAGCTGGAAGCTATTGTTGTTGAAGAGAGGCCAAACTGCCATCAATAAAACAGTTGTGAAGCAGTTTAATTGGTTACATGTCAAAAAATCAAAGATCGTAATTTACAGACTTTTATTGTGTTGAATCAAACTGAGGTCTGTTATATGAAAAACCCCATTATCATACACATCAATATTGAGAATGGGGATTCTCATAGGCTAAGTTAGAAGGACATCACCGTACCTTTGCATAGTCGGTTCCACCATAAATATCACCAACAAGCATATCTACAACTCTATTATTTCCCTGATGACTTAGCTCCAGTAGCTCATCAAAACTGTGATAGAAAAGATATTTGTTTACATACAATAAAACACAACATTAAAGGAAATCATAGATTACTATAGAAAAATCGAGACATAATTACTTCTTGCACTTCGTCAAAAGTCTTCCCAAACCCCAAAAGGTGCCACCTCCAAGGCTAGTTCCACTAACTCGCTCAAACTTGCCATCTCCATCCACCTATATACCAAAAGAACAACAATTAACTATACATATTAAAAGCTTTAAATATTACCAAAGTAATGTAGATGAAAATAAATACCTTTATCATGCTAACACCAGACCCAATGTTAACAAGAAGATAAGGATATAAATCATTAGGGTCAATCTGAACAAATTCCTTCTGACTATCCAAGTATGTAAAAGCTTCTTGGTGGACTGCCTATCAAAGAACAATATGCAAATCGATACTCAGTGTAAAAAAAAAACATAGAAACTATGTGCTAATTTCCATAGAACAATGTCACTGAATATGTAATCTTAGAACTGTATTTCACTGCCATGCATATTTTGTATTGATAAAATATTCCTCAACCCTAACGGGAAAAGATACTACAGGAAGGTTCGCCCTAATTTTCAGAGAACATCATGACTACGATTAAAGGAAAAATTCCGTATTTAAATGAAACTTTTCCATTTTTAAAAATAAAGATGAGTGTATTCTCTAAATTTAGAGATCTGAGAAGAATAAGCCTTCAAAGTCACTTTTGTTATAACTCACCAAAACTCCATAAGGCATCAAACCTCATAAGAAAGCCAACTAGAATAGTCTCATAGATAAAAAGAACTCTGCCATAATGTCGATTTCTTTCCATTCTCACTCACACATAAGCACACCATTGTATCAGATTGTAAATAGTTAACCAGTTAGATACGCTGCCGAATACAGATAGATTATCTAAAGACGAGAGGCATAATGTTAAATTCTCCATTTACATTATACTCTACTGTTCTGTTAAAAATACCATAATCTTGACGTACAGTAAAAATAAATACAATACGTTCAACAGGAATGCTTAAATTTCCAAAAAGGGAAAAGGGAAAAAGTATTAGCACACACATATATATACTCAGCAGGACAACAGATAGGATTGGCTTCATGATTATCGGAGATTAAAAACTAATGAGAACTAAGAGACTAATTTTAGCATACCAACAACTTCTTGCAGTATTAAAATCCCCACCTTAAGCAAAAAATTAGAACCAGTCACAAGGCACTCCATTTCATCTTCTTTGTCAAGACTGACACCAAGCTTTTCTTTGAAAAGGTCAGCAAATTTGTAAGCACCACCACCTGTTGCCTGCAAACAGATATTAGCTGTTTAAGGTGTGTTTATACTGCAAATCATTCAACAAGTGTCTAAAACAAGCAGGCTGAGAGAAATAAGTTGCTCAAAGCAGTAAATAGTTACAGCATTGAAAAAAGAGTCAGAAATAAGATGGGGGAGGAGTAAAAAATAACATTGCCTACATGATAGTAATAAAATTTATCAATTATTAAGAATAGGTAGCTCCTATCAGATTATAAAACAGAATATCTAGAAAAATCGAATTCCTTCTGAAACCAGAGAAATACAAACTCAAGTTTTACCTTTATAAAGATCTTGTCACTCAAAGGAGCAGTGCTTTCATGGAAACCTGAATTCACGTTTGTTGATAAGAAAATAAACTTCAGCAACATCAAAAAAAAAATCTTCAAAAGCATATATTCAATTAATGATATTTAAGGACAACTGAGTCCAAGGAATGATGATTACATCAACAATCTTCTC